AAATCTCCAATCTTGTATTCTTGCAGCAGACAGCTACAGTTTAATTTCCTCCGACTTTTATTACAGACTACAAATCTAGTTCCCCAACAACTATAATCTCAGCTTGAAAGATGCCTCAGTGACTGTGTCGAAGTGAGAGTGTAGCTGCAACCATGCACACTCAAGGCCGCAGTCTTCCGAGCTATATACTTTCAGATCAAAAACAGAGCATTTAGCTTTCACCTGTTCCTTAACTGCATCAACCTGGAAGAGAAGAGGTGCAGCATAGAAGAACAACATTAAAAACATTTCCCTGTAAAGAGATTCGGTCAACAGAAGACCATCAGAACGGAAGTGTGCCGTCTTTTATTTGATACCACCTATTTTAAAGGAAGTCAAAGGGGGAAAAAATGGTAGCTTCATATTTTGAATGCTGTAAGGATTATAAATTTGTCAACAGGCCAGATTACTTGCAGTTGCAGCCATCATAGGATTCTCATTTTGCCTATAAAACATAAATGGTAATATTACAATTCTGTAAAACTATGATTTGTTCATGGAGACTCAATAAACTCAAATGACCACAAAAAGGAGAAGAGGATAATTATGTGCCATTATGTCTATTAATTTAGTGGTTTGAATAACTGATGCTTCACACAATCGAAAACGGGCCTAAAAACATAATTAAGAATATTAATCAGCATCCTCACTCCTGACTGCACGGTCTAAAAAAGACCTTGTTTAGATGACTTGACTACTACCTCTCACAATGCAATAAGATAACCCGCATGAATCCGCATCAAACTAAATCATGTGTGCTGGTATTCACATTTGTTCTGACATTGCATCGATCCTCTGACAGCATGACCGCAGTTCTGCACAGCTATACGGTCTTCATTTATATCAAAACCTATTTATTCCTCAGTTCACTTATCTCCAACCTGAAAAGAGCTGACCCACCTTGCTGAGGTACTCCCTCATGACCTGAATGAAGTATGGCATAGAAAAGTCCATGATGTTGTGCCTCCAGGCGGTCTCCAGCACCACGTCAGGCCGTAGCAGGTCATAGCAGGTGAACAGGCAGGCGGCGAAACACTCTCTCTTTTCCTCCTGTAGGAACCAGGACAGCAGCTCCTCTGCCAGCTCGGTGTCCTTGGACTCTGACGCATACTGCATGGCATCCTGCAGAGGAGACACAGCACGGACAGGTTTAAGGAAAGGTCTTAGCCAATTGAGGGAGTGTATCAGAAACATTTACAAAGAATGTAAAGGTGATTGTTGTGGGGAAAGGATAGGGGGGCACCTTATAGAGCTTGTCCTTCTTGCAGAGCTCCACACTCTGTTTCCAGCGGTTGTTGCCCTTGAAGAGGTAGGCAGCGATTCTCCTGAACTCAATCAGCTCGTGCCTCTCCAGGCGTTGGGCCAGTGAGATGTTATCAAAGTTGTCGTAGGCATCTATTGATGTCCTCAGTGCCTAACATGAGTGTAACGGGGGAAAAAAAGGGGGAGAGTATTCAAGGTTCAGTGTGTAAGATTTAGTGGCATCTAGCAGGTGAGCAGAAAGTGGCCAGTCAAAAAATAAGGTTTCTTTATTAAGAAATGATATTTGCTTAATTATTCAGTAAAACCATGTGTTACTGTGACTTGGCCACTGACAGACGCCAAGAGTGTGAAACATTGTTACTGTTTCTGCACCACAGTCCATTATAAACCACACATTAGATAAAGTTCATACAAACACTGACAAGGGAAACACATTCATTCTCTCTGTGAACCCTCGCCAAAACTGCCCGCCAGTAATAATATCTGGCCCGCTGCCAGATTATTGTGCTTTGATAGCGGCAAAAAATATAAATAATTGGATAGTGTGCTGACATAGATCTCAGATCAACAGTTCCTCACATAATCACTTCCTCTTTAGTGGTATTGCCCACAAAATAAAAGCGCAAGAAGCTTCTTTACTGTAACGCTGTATTTGGAGTTGAACTGAGCTTTTACTTTGAAAAATTCTGAACTACATTAAAGAGTCTGTAGCCTGCTTGACACACCTCTGAAAGAGCCTAAATGTCCTCTGCCTGGAGACACTGGGGAAATGCGAAGACTCCGTAGGTTAATGGTTGTGGATCAAACATTGAAACAGAAACACTGCAGCAGATCCCGTAATGTGAACCTGAGAAACGCTGCATAATCCATTTTTTTGAAGACAGAATAAAAAAAAAAGTTGTCCCAAGGTGGGATCGAACACTCAACCCTTAGAATGCAAGACCTATGCTTTACTGACTAAGCTAACCACACACCATGATATTCTCACCCACAATCTAACGGTTGAAAATATTGCTCCGATGCAAAACCTATTTGCAGACCCCGGCAGTAGGTTAATACTACGATGCAGCATGGCGACGTCCATGGAAGGAGGGACCCGTGGTTATGTAGATATAAATGGCTTATTCTAAGGTAATAAAACCATATTGGTTTATTATGTAAGGTCTTTCCACACTACTGGAAACATAGTTATGGATCTTATATTGCATTTCTCTCAATAAATCCTCAGAAACATTACACACAACCTTTAAATCAAAGAATAATGACATTTATGAAATACAAAGTACAGCAGCACTGTAAAAGGCTCTCACCTGATAGTCCTCTTCTGTGATGAAGAGGTTGTTAAGTGCTTCATTGACTGATTTGTTGTTGTGGTTCTGTACTGACCGCAGGTAGGGTTTGATCAGAGGGAGCTGTTTCACCTGTTGACACACATGCCAGGTATCAAACCGGTCAGCTGGAAATTCAGTTTATTCTAGCAAACAGAGAAAATTCCTATCACACTCTACACATCCTTATCATAATGAGAGATTAAAGTGTACCTTGCTGAAGAAGTTGACAGCACGGGAGTGGTCCAGTCTGGGGGAAAGCACTATGAGCAAATCATTCAGTAACAGGGGCTTGAACTCCAGATAGAACTGGGTGGCTTTGTAGTACAGCTCCACGTTGGCCACCTACACAGGGTGCAGAGGGAAAGACAATCTTAGAAAAATAATTTATTATTTATTTAACACTGGACAGGCGAATATATAATGCAATATGAGGCACAATGATTATAAATTTGCAATACTGTACTGTTGGATTGCATAATACCATCTTCAATGACATACTTATTTTGTATTCAGAAATCATACAATCACAGTTTCAGGCAATAATAAAGACCTTTTAGGCGATAACCAACCTCACGATTTGATTACGATTCAGAGGGCTGCGATGCGATTAATTAAACGATTATCGATGCATCTTGATCCATAATTTTTTCCTATACAGGATCTCTGGATATTACTAAGCATTAAATTTGTGCATTATATCCAAAAGAAACATCTCCTAATTAGCTTAAAAGGACTAGTTTGCATCCCTAATTTACTTCATTAACCTCAGCTCCATGGTCCCTCATTTCTTTAAAACAACCAGTTGTCAGACTACTCTGAAAACTGAAATATAACTATCAGGATGTCCAGTATGTGTACAGGACAGAGCTGTACACCAGTTTAATCTAAGCTTCTACCTGATATTCTCAACCCTTGACAAGTAGGTAAGTTAGTACTAATGACATACAGCTGACACGCATCTCAGAAACAAAAAGAAAATATAATATTAAAACATGATCTTAGTTTCAAACTGTACCTTGGTGATGATGTCTTTGAACTGTCCCTCCTTCCAGGCATCTGTCGGGTGGTTCATCATGGTGATGATGGCGTTGTCAAATTCCTCATACTTGTCGTACAGGAAGACCAGCTCTGCCCACAGGTGCGCCTGCTCTGCTGCTCTCAGGACCTTTGGGATGTTAACTCTGGACCAGAAGAGCTCCAGATGTTCCCTCATCTTCTGGGGCTTGAACTTGGAGTAAAGGATGGCCAGCTCCGTGAACATCCCCATGTGAGCGCGCTCCAGGCCCAGAGCGGCCTCCAACATGGTGATCAGCTCCTCAAAGTAACCGCGGTCCTGAGAGAGAGAGAGAAGAGGGAGGATGGAATGTGGTGAATGTGCGCTTATGTATGTATGTGGGCTAAGCTGTTGGGAAGTGGCATGTCTAAAAATGAATACTTGAAATAACATACCAGAAGATGAAACCACAAACATACACACAAAAAAGCCTTCATTTTCATCTTACTTGGTAGTAGTTGATCAGCTCCTCCAGCTCGTCAGCGTGCACCACGATGTGGAGACCGCACATCTGGGCCAGTCTGAACTCATTTCCATCCACGCAGGCGAAGCACACCTCTTTCCAGGTGCGGGTGCTGTTGGCCTTACGGGCGCCATCCACAGCAGCCTGGTACTCCCCGAGGTGCACCAGAGTTGAAGCGAGACGACCAAAGTTGGAGACGTTGTTGTATAGCAGCTTAGCTGCATCATACATTTTCTCATCATAGCAGCGGTCACCAACCTACAAAAGATTTAAATAAAAACATAGTATTATACCTTTTGACCTGACAGCTTATTCACAGAGGGCTGTATGAGAGCTAGGCTAACCTGTTGGATGTGAGCATTGTTGGGTCCGTTGATGAACTCCTCCAGTTCAGCCAGGCGATTGGTTTTGGCCAAGGCAAAGATGAGCTCCGTCTCCACGTAGGACTCGCGGGCCTTCTTACGAGCCATCTGAAGGAATTTGACCAAGTCCTCCCAGTTACCTGAAACACATGTATATATAATCTTCAGCCGTTGGTTTCTACTTAATCCTTTTCTTTTTTTTGGTTGTTTGGTAGATGTAGAGCACTGCCTCAACTGTATTTTATGCTGATAGTGTGCACTTTCAAGAGAGAATTGCTGCAACTATCAGCCAATACCCCTGGGGCACAAAACTCAATACACTAACTCCGCAACACAGCTGATGCGCTGCGTATTGACTGCTTTCAATCGAAGCTGCGCTGGCAAACAACTAGCAGCTTTCTCTGAAACCCTGCATTCCTGCCTACTGTTAGTGATTGATCAGCTCACCATGACGATAAGTCAGATGGTATTCATTCCCTCTACACTTTGGTCAGGTTTTGAAAGCCCTCCGATTTGCCTCATTGTCACAACAGCAGGGCCTCAGCCACATAAGACACTATGAAATAAATTCTCAACCAAGTTTGGTGCTTTTTTTTTTTCCTCCCCACTCGCCAGGTTTTCTTACTTGCGGTCAACAAGTCTCCTTACCGCTCTTATCAGCAGCCTGTACAACCTCCATGTATGCAGAGGGATCATCGGCTTTGATGTAGGAGTCAATAGCCTCTTTAACCAAGTCCTTCTGTAGCTGAGCCTTAGCCAGCTGGCTCCACACAGCCGGCTCATTGCAGCGTTCTGCAAACTCATAGGCCCGGTCCAGGTTGCCAATATGCTCGATCAGCACCTAGGTTAAAATTTTTATTTAATTTTTTTTAAATTGGATGATCAACACGCCTTCAGTCATTAACTTATTAGTGTAGCTGTTTAAGAGCTAATGACTGACCTGCACTGCAGAGGTGTTCACGTCAAACTTCTTAAAGATGGCAAAGGCCTCCTCAAAGAGTTCATTGCTGATAGCAATGTTAGCGATATCGGGAGCATCATAGTTGTCCAGCCTGCTGATGTACTCCATCACACGGGTACGGTCAGCTTTGATCGCCGTTAGGATCAGCAGGTTCTGCAGATTTCTGTGGGAAAGAGAAGACATGAAACCCTCAGCGCATTTTTCTGCAATTAAATTTTAAAATGACCCATGGGAACACAGCAAAAACATTCAACATGTTCCAGCTAAACACCTGTGTTCACTGAAGACAGAGTTGTCCAACACAATCTTCTCCAGCAGCTCAATGAGCTCGTTGGGCAAGTCTGCGGTCATGAAGGCCTTGACAGTGACTGACACCTCCTCTGGGTCCTGGGTTTCTGACAGTGCAGTCTGCACCACCTGAGGGGCAAAGGCACAGAAGCTTAGAGAAGCACCAGGCACTTGCATGAAATGAGAAAAGACTCGTCTCGACTACACTTTACCTGGTCAATGAGTGGTCGTCTGAAGGGGTTGCTCTCCAGGAGCACGCTGGCCCACAGGTCAGGGTCTTTGCGGCGGACCAGGTAGCGAGACAAGCTCTTGAACAGAGAGTTCTCATTGCAGACCTGATATGAAAAGAACAGAAATTACAATTCTTCAAGCTATAGTGAAGGCGGTTTAATGTACTACATCAAAAAAGGAAGCTGAACTGAAACAGATATTTAGATACACAGATGGGTGGCAGGCAAGCGCAAAAATACATCCTCACATTGATCAGCTCCTGGTCACACTGTCCCCTCTCATACGCCACACAGGCCAGGTGTGGGTCTCTCTTCTCGCAGTACTTTCCCACCACACGGCTGTCATAGTACGGGTTTTCCCTCAGGAAGCGTTCGGGGTTGTTGTTGCTGTCAATGTAGATCTTGGCCAAGGCATTATGGGTAGCAGGCTCCTCACAGCCTTCGTGGATACGAGACTCCAGCCAGGGCAGCAGCAGCTTCAGTCTGCAAAAGAAGAGGGACATCAGAACTCTCTCTGACTGCTCACACAACATCTCCGAAGGGGATGAAGCACGTTTGAGTTCCTACTTGGAGAATAAAATAGATAAGGTTCTCCATGTGGTGTTCGGTTTTAAGCTTGTTATGTTGAATAAGTCACAGATTCCTCTTGAGAGAGCTGCAATTTACTAACAATTTTATTTTTAAAATATTATCACAACTTGTTACTGCCCAATAACACGACTAGTTTTGCACTACTCACTACAACTGTAACAATACTACCTGTAAAGCTGATCACTGTGTCTTCTCTTACTTTTAAATGTGTATAACTCACAGTGCCTGTGTTCCTGCTAAATGTTTATTTTGGTTGATGAAAAATTAAGTCAGAAATAAATCCTTACTGTTTTTAGTTTGATCTAAAGCACAAAGCAGACAATTTATGAGTAGAATAAATTAACAATTTCACATTTTGATGACAAATATTAGAAAATAGCAATCATACATTTCATTAGAGAAAGTGATAATGTGTGAATAATGAAAGTGATTATTTATCAGCCATCCGGTGTGTTCCAGACAAAGTGTAACTAGTGGCTTGTACAACATTTTCTCTCCTCATAATTAACCTTTTCTAATGGTTTTCAAAACTTCACCATTATCTGGGAAGTCAAAATGACTTAAACTGTTTAGTTGTAATGTTGTGGAAACATGTAGGTGGAATAGCGCAGCACCTGTTCCTCTTTTCCACCTCAGCGACCAGTTCATCAGTAGAAAACTGTCCTCTGACAACCAGGATCAGGCTCTTGATGACATCCTCTGAGCAGTCCACGTCCAAGAGACCACCAACCACAACAGGCAGACGGCTAGGATTCACCTAGAGACGCACATTTTAACAATAAATCTCATTTGCTTATTTCTGTGATACAAGTATAATCGCCATGAGGCATTTAAACACTTCTTCGCTGAGTCTTACCTTCTGAACATAGATCTCAATGTACTTCTGCAGGTTGTTGCGATACAGGTAGAGGACCAGGTCGTGGACAAAGTCAAAACGGTCACAGACGATGATGAGCGGCAGCTGGTCGGTGAGTTTGGCTTCCTGTCGTCACACACAGAGATGGGAAAGAGGTCATGTTCAGTAAGCCAAACACAACCAACACACATTTACGAGCCACAAAACATCAACCAACCCCGATGCAACAGGTTTCATCTAACGTTTATTGTATATATATTTATTTTACTGCTGATATAAAAGTATTGATGATGGCTGGTGTACGGTGTATGAGTAAGACATTTATCAGTCACTGAAAATAAAATTAATAACATTTTCTAGCTACGTCAACTCTCTTGAAGGGATAAAAACTTACACATTTAATACAATAATAAGGAGCGCGGGGGAAAAAAGTTTGTTAGTACAACAAATGGATTTCACTACAAAATGAGCGTTTCACAGAAGATTCACGGAACAAGGCATCTAAAAATAGATGACAGGTCAACACTAACAGCACATTATGCACCTTGTCGACATCATCTAAGAACATGCGGCACTGACAAATCTGACTATTCAAATAAGGAGAACAGGACCACATCTTGTTCACCAAACTTCCAGTGACTAGGTAAAGCACTTTTTTGCAACCCAGAGGATATATGGATTGTGGTGTATAAACATTTATACGTCTCCATACAAATCCGCTTTCCTGTGCCTAAAGTTAAGAGGTAGGGGTGAAAGCAAAAAAAAAGGGAGAAGTCCTGTACTGTGGGGAAGCACCTACCTGATACATGTCCTGCCATTCCACAGACAAAAGAGGAAAAGCACAAAAGATAAGTGACTGCCAGGAAGATTGTTCTGATAATTTTAAACCAGACTGCTGGGGATCTGATAGTGATAGGAATCTAATCTAGAGAAAGGGGTCAAATTGTTAATCTGTGAAGCTTTTCTTTTAATAGCATGTAGCATTTAAAAGAATGACAAAGCACTTCAAGGAGTATGCGATGAAAACAGACTGGAAATTGTGATTTTAAAATCGTAAACACTAGAAAGATAATACACCTTAAAACCAACACGGCGTAAAATTCTGAAAGACTGGTGTTGTTCAGAAAAGAGTTGATAATGAAAAAAGCAACATAATTTCTAAGGACAGAAAGATACAGTGTACAAGAGAGGAGAGTGAGTGACAAAAGTAAAATAAAAGGACCAGGTAAAGGAAGAAAAGAGCTGTTAAATGTCAGTGTTTGATCACTCCATCTGTCCTGAGGCTTTACCTTGAGGAAGTTCTTGACGCGCTCAGGGTCGTAGCAGTTGCTCTCTCTACAGATCCGCTCCACCTCTTTGATCTGGCCTGTCTTGCAGGCGGCCTGGATGTATTTGAAGTGAACTTCAGGGTCCTGACTGAAGTTCACAATAGAGCCCAGGAAGTAGAACAGACCTGAAAGACACAGTCAGCCACTTATATTAAGCTTCAAAAGACATGCACGTCTACAGCTCCACCCATCTAATGATAGCTTTGTGGATCCAGTAATACATCCTGAAAAGATGTATGTACCTGTACCTGATAAATGTAGCTCCTTGACTGCTGTTTTTCTTTTCCCCCCAATTAGTTTAGTTTACTCTTGCTTACAACCTTTATTCTCCAGTAATAGAGGAGCTCAACTAATACACCTCCAGGCCATACTGCACAGTCTATTGACTGTCCTGCCTCTGCTCTGGCCTACTTGTCTAATTGATAGTGAGGGGCCATCCATATAAGTACAGTGGCGAGAGGTAATGGCTGCATAAATAAAACTGAAGGACAAGTCAAATACCATTAATGTCTAGCTGGATCCAGGGACATGTAGGTGAATTATAAACCATACAATAAACTTTTAAGGACTGTACTGGCTTCTTCTCAAGAATTTGTGTCTCTGACTGCACTCAGTCTTATGAGCAAGCATGTCATCAATGTCTATGAATGTCAAAAAGCCCAACATTTATATTGTCTGGATTAGAAATTACAGTGTTTCACTAAAAAAGATTCACATATCAAATGAAGCAGTATGCCAGTATAAAGGATCTCACCTTCAAAGCTCTTGAAAGACTCAAAGAGCTCGGTGAGAGCCTGTGTGGTGAGCTGTTCGTGGTACTTGGAAGCCACCTGCACACTGATCTGCAGGTTCTGGCGAATGTTGGCTGACAGCATGGCCCTGAGGCACTCCAGAGAGTCCTCCACGGACAGAGAGCCAAAGAAGTTCACCAGCCACTGGAGGTGCAGGAGGGAATGTTACTTTAAGTTATACGTTGTACAATATCTTCCATGGAGTTAGTAAAAAAATCCACAGTAAGCTATTGTTTCTTTTACTAGAAAGAACAGTAGCCTGTAGTTTTAGTTCAGTTTCCCTCAGTCAATAACTGAAGCCTACCTCTGGGTTGAGCAGGTGTGTATGCACCACAGCGCGCTTGATGTCGTACAGGTCAGTGTAGTGCTCCAGCGCTCTTTGCAGGAGTCCAGCCTTCTCACACAGCTGGGCAATGTGGGCACGATCGTAGTTGGTGAACATTTGGTTTCCCAAAATAGCATCAGCAACCTGCAACCCATGACATTAAGCAATAATAAAAAAACAAAACGTTAGCAAAAACTGCATCCCAGCTCTATTAACAGGATTTCATTTAGTAAAGTACGACTAAATGTGTTCACCTGTGGAGCATGCATGAGGTTCATCTCCAGCAGGCGAGTCTGCAGCGGTCCTTCTGAGGGCCTGTTGTTCTTCAGAGCGTCCAGAAGGAATGAGGTGCATTGCTGGATCAGGTTATACTCCATGAATACATCGACGATCTGGACAGACACAGAGACACACGGGTGAGAACTAAAACTCAAAGAGAGGAAAAGAGACCATGCTTGTGTAGCTACTAAAAGTCTGACAAGAATATTACTTACTAAAACAAGTCTTTGAACAAATGAAGTACTACTGCACTGTAGCAGGGTTCTTGCACCATTTTAAAAGTCAAATTTAATGCTTTTTAAGACCTCAACAAATATAAAATTAAGACCTCAAATTTTGAAACAATTTCTTTGATAGAAAAGAGACGCGCATTTGATCTCTTAATGAACGACACAATGCCATATTTAGCAGTTTCATTTTCACCACATGTGAATGACTTTGCATATTCTGAATTGGGGAACACAGATGCTGTTTACACCTGGCATTAAAACCGCCTTAAACGCACCATCGGCAAATTTAATACCTACAGTAAATTTACGGCAATTTAAGACCTTAATTTCCCTGATTTCAATTTAAGACCTTCTAAGACTTTTTAAGGAGCCGCGGGAAACCTGTGAAGCTATAAGTACACTCAAACCTCCCCTCAGGATAAGTACAACACACCTGCCACACTCTCCTAACCTTCTGCACCACTGACAGGATTAAAAACTTGACAGATGCAAGAAGACCACATACTTCTTGAAAGCTGGCCACTTGCAATGAAAAGTGAAAGTTGGCTGAAAAAAAAAACACATTTCAACTCCCAAAGATTGAAGAAAGCCCCTGCTGCAATGTGTTTTATTCTTAAAACTCCTGGGCCCTACCAGTACAGTGCTTCAGGCAACAAAGGAGGCTCTGTCAGCAGCTGACATATGCAGTGCACCGTGTCTGCAGTGGCAGGAAGCAAAGGAAGAGGTGCATTTCCTTTATACTACAGGATAGCTGAGGTTCACAGATGTTAGCATGTCATGTGACTCAGTCAAATGGTTTCCAGTCCAATATCAAGGAAAGCTTGGGGTTGACTTGTTGACAGCTCAGGATGTAAGGTCACAATGTCTGTCTCAGACTCAGCAGTACAACCCCAACCATCCTGTGCAGTTGGTTTTTAATCTCCTAAATTACTCATCTCAGTAAGTAAGACATAAATCTCTTAAACACTGACCTAGTCCACTCATTTATATGATATAACAGACTGCCAAACATTTTCTTAAATACTTTATAAAGTAGTTCATAAGTAATGTATGTATTCCTGATGGATCACTGGAAATGTCTGCTCCTTTCCTCTGACCTGTGTGATGTCAGCCAGTGGTTCTTCATCCTGGACCAGCATCTGGGCAAACTGCAGGCCTTGTTCTGGGTTGATTCGCATCACATTCCTGAGCAGAAAGATCCAGTCTGGAGTGTAGCCCACCTAGAAATAAAAAAAATTGTATACAATCAAATTTTAGGGCCATTGTTTATCTCCATTAATTTAGTTGACAAAGTCCAACAAGAAGAGCTCTTAAGTAGGGCTGCAACTAATGACTATTTAGTAGTCAGTTAGTTATTTCGTAGTCGACTAACTAACTAACTAATTAAATGTCTTTCAAGTGAATTACTGTCCTCCAACACACAGCCTAACTAGCTAATGTTACCATTAAGTGAACGAGGTTTACTATTTAGAATGAACACCAGTATCAGTGCCAGGGGGAAACCAGGGAAGAAGGCAAGACAGCGCAGGATACTCCTATAATTCACTGATTTTTACAAGATTTTTGCTTTGGAACTATATAAAATAAAAGCAAATTAAAAGCATGTACTATAACCACAACTGTACACTAAAGATGTAATGTCTATTTAGAATAATAAAGCAACAGTTCCCTTTCAAACTACTCCTGTAGTTTATTTTTCAAAAGTGCTTATAGGTTTTAGGCAATAACTCAGTGGAGAATGTTCTGTAGGCTACATCACAAGTCAGATGTTCCTTGATGTACTTTAAACCATTACTCATAACTTTTTTTTAAGCTGGGTCTCCAACATTGCCAGCGTTGTGACGGACAGACTTGTGCTGTGGTGTTCATGAGGGGGAGAGAGAGAGACACAAGCGAGAGGATGTGCTCCGCGAATACGCTACGGCGCTGATCTGCAATCATAACATTTTAGGCCTAGTAAAATAAAAAAATAAAAAAATTTGCCATCAACTTTGGTAAAACTGCCAATATTCAAATTCTACACAGTTGATTTCTCACCTCAAAACCACTCAAAAGTGTATTTAGTGATTAAACTTGTAAAAACAAAAGCTGTTCGCCTCTTTCTCCTTTGCCTTCCGCTTCTTGCACGAAAGCTTCTTCTTCGTGAGTAGTTTTACAGTCAAGACAGTATAAGCGATACTGCCCCCAGCACTTCCTGTAGTGCATTGCAGTTAGAAATAAACAACCAGAAATGTTCCTAATATGAAGATTGCTATCTCTCCCTCAAACAGCAGCTATGTACCGATGCGTCGACAGTGAAATTTCACGTCCACAATTTTTTATAGTCGACGTATCGCAGCCCTACTCTTAAGTTCATAAAACTTCATATAAGCATTAAACATTTGACATTTTTTGCTATATACTTTATTGACACTCTTGAATTAGGGAAGGTTTTCTGTTTGGAAATCTATTTCATATGGTGTGCCTTCTCCTTTACTGGCCATTCATTTCATCATTTGGGAATTATAATATAGAGCTCAAATACCATCTCAGACTGACATACCTTCTTGGCGTACAGGACGATCTTGGGGAACTGACCGGTCTCTGCAAAGCACTGGATGACTTTGTTGGGGACGTTGGCCCTCAGGTAGACACTGAGAGCCAAGGTGGGATCCACTGCCTTCACCAGGTCACCCAATTCCTCGGAACACTCCAACTGAAACGCAGGATAAGTAAGGTCAGCACTGGAAGCAATTCAGGATAATTTTAACACAAGTATACAGTGTTATTCTTTTATTTCTTTTCTATCTCTTTAGATTTTTTCTTTTCTTCATTTAATGTATGCGTGTATATATATATTTTTTTATCTATGTTAATTTTTTAACTGCATCTGTATACATTTCAAAAAAGCTATATACACAATGAAAGGACATCTATATTGTGCCAAATGACACAATGAGAGCATACTGACAAAGAATATTTATAGCAAATATGGTAAATATGTGGATGACAAAAAACATTAAAGCAGCTTTGAACCACCCAAATGTTTCTAAGGGACACTTTCCAAATTCTTTACATAACGGATGATCTCATGTGATCTATGATAAAAGGCAAGTCATGTAAACAGGCAGCTCAGGAAGAACCTCTTCCTGTGACTGGAGGCTGAGATGGAGATCTGTAATACCTTGTCTTCCTTCAGCCACTTCTCCAGAAGCTGCTTTCGCCCCTGCTGGAGGACAGGCCTGCAAAGCTCCAGGGACTCGAACTTGTTGAGCTGGCCTTGGTCCAACAGGATACCAAAGTACTGTAGCAAGGGGGAGGTCTGGCCTGGCTGAGTTGGCACGCTCTGGAAGCGACGGATGGTGTCTGGGGTTCGCAGGATACCCTGAGAGGGGAAAGGTCAGTGGAAGGTGAGAGGACTGATACAAGGCAAAACAAGTAGGTAGAATACAATGCAATCAAATACAACGGCCCTGCAATAAGTACAACCATATGGATCTGATACTACATTTTTGTTCCGATATGTTTATTGACCCTTATGCTAACAGGATAGGTACCTTTGGTGCATTGGCAGCAACCTTGGCAGCCTCAGAGTAGTTGCCAGCAGCAAACAGGTTGTTGAATTTACGTGCAAAGAGCTCTTCAGCGCCAGCGAGGTTGTTGCGGACAGCCAAGCGGAGAGCCAGATCTGGATTCTGCAGCACGTTAGTGATGTAGGGGATGATGTTTTCCTCTTCCACGCAGACTGACAGCACCTGTGTTACAGGGAATAGAGAATGTTTCAGTAAAGTACACTAGAGCCCAGACTCAAGGTAAGTAGGGGTGGGAATCTCTGAGCACCTCATGATTCGATTACGATTCACGATTGTAATGCCCGATTCAGAGTGCTACAATGTGATTAAAAAACAATTATCGATGCATCTTGATGCATAATTTCTTTCTATACCGGATCTCTGGATAATTACTAAGCACATAAGAATCCAAAAGAAACATCTCCTAATTAGCTTAGTTTGCATCCCTAACTTACTTCATTCCTCATCTCCATGGTCTCTCATTTCTTTAACAACCAGAGAAAACTGAAATATAATAATCAGGATGTACAGTATGTGTACAGGACAGAGCTGTACACCAGTTTAGTCTAAGCTTCTACCAGATGTTCGCAACTCTTGACAAGTAGGTAAATAGTAAGTATGCTCTCTAGCGCTAACAGCCTTCACTTTTCCAGCAGTTGGGGAAACTACAGACTTATTAACGAACACACTGTGACCTACACTGCACGTTAATTACCAGACAAAGACTTAATTTTTTTTTTTTCTGCCAACTTTTATGTCATGTTTTGCTGCTCACTCTCTCTAATTCGCTCGTCCCCACACACAGGATCCACAGATAGCTGCCAAGCGTTGAGTGTCACCATGCTTGCACAATGTATGAGTTAAAATCATTATTTGTGCATTGATATTAATTACTGGGTGACAATTAAGTCGGTGGTTATTCATTTCGCAGCAGTGGTGTGCTGAATACATCGGGGGGGGAACACTGGTCGCCAGAGACGGTCCGGGCACTGCACTTCCGAGAGTTCCGCCTTTTGCGTTCAGTCAACGTTACGTTATCAATTGACATTTAAATAATGGCTTTTTTGACACTGTTAATCAAGTCAGAGTCTTCTACGTCCGCATCGTGATGCATCTAAGAATCAGTTTTTTCTCCCACCCCTAAAAAGGTAACACTGTAATCATGCGGCCATATTTCATAACATTTTTAACATTTCCCTTCATGTGCTTCTTCATATAGGAAGCCTCAAATCAAATTAAGTCAAATGAACCCCACCGTTCCAAGTTTTAGCAAGCTTATGAATTCAAGCTAGACCAATCAATCGACAAAGCGGATATAAAGTGGAATCTCCAGTGGATTTGATGGACTGCCTTATTTGAGATACATCTAGACGACACTGGCAGAAACAAACGCATTCCACGCCCTGTGCCAGAAATTAGCAGAGTGAGTAAGCTCAGCTGAATGTAACTGTAGGCAATAGCATTAAACTCCATTAAACTCTGTCTGGCCTTGGGTTGTGGCTGCTAAATGCAAATGTATTATTAGTGGGTCAGTGTAACGCATGGTCTGTGAGCAGTCTGGCAACAGAGAGAGAAAGGAGAATGAGTCGAATGAAAGGAGCAGGATAGAGGAAAAGGCAGGGGGCTGAAGGAGAAAGACAGCCAGTGTTTGCCCGCTCTACAAACAAGCCTAGCAGGTCAGTGTCCCAGCTTTTAACACGGGTGACTAGATCTTATTCTCCCTGCCACTAAAGCAGAGTCACTTACTCACTATACTGTGGGTGGACTAATTAGAGGTATTTGAAATAAAAACACAGAAAGAAAAGAAGGAGCAGAAGTGGAGATTATCATAAGTATGTAGGTGTAGTAAGGGAGGAGGATACATCACCCAAAAGAGACAAAGGCTAATATTAAAGTCAGGAACAATTACAAACAGAAACATGTGAGAGAAACATTCCACATAAAAGAAATCCTCTTTACAAAGGAGCCAGTTCTTAAGTGACAAGATACACTGCTGTCGACATATTTAGCGATACCCTAAATGTAAAAAGACCATTTAAATACAATCAGTCTCATGAGACAAACTTGCCAGAGCAACTGTTCTCAACAAGAGAGCACCAAGTTAGATGACACACGAGCTGTCGTATCAAGTGATAAAATGGCCCAGACACACACACACACGTAAAACTGTAGGGCAGATATCACAGGTCTCTGCCATGCTGATGACGTGGAAGATAAGGTGGAGGTTGTGATTGGATGAGAGGACCAGCACTAAGAGGATTGAGGGCACCAGGCTGTGACTCCCACTTCACATCATGTGCTGTGTGGAGGGCCCTTTTTCCCCTATTGCTCTGTCTCACTCCTTGCCCTCCTCTGTCCCTTGCTGGACTGTGTGCAGAAGTTCTGCACTGCAGTCATCACTGCATGCAACACATAAGCAGGCACTGCTTGTCCATAGCTCCCAATAACAAACCAACTACAGCGACCAATATAGGCAGGTTGGAAGCAATAATAGTGACGGGAAAAAAGTAGATATCAGACACTAATTCATAAAAATAATTCAAATCAGAAGATTTAGCACAAATATTCACCTACACCTTGACTCAAATTTCAAACTACCATTAAATCATCCTGCACTGCACATTCTTCACTGTTGTACTTGTCCAGTCCAACAAGAAACAAAAGAAATTAAAAAATGTAATTTAGTTAAAATTTACTGGGAAACTCATTGTAGTAATAATAATCAGATTACCAATATTGTTGGTCACCAACCTACTAAGGGGCCAAGACAGTGGGCTATGATCTCTCAGATCACTGTCTCTGTGCATGTGATGTGTGTACAAACACACATACGCACTTCACTGCCCCGTCATACAGAGAGATCTGTCATTGCCTCCTATCAGCTTTCCTCTCTTTGCTCAATTATTCATGTGGTGTGTGGCCTGGCTGGAACATTATTCATCAGCTGGCTGGATCTAGTTCTCTTCTCTGGTTCAGCTTTGCAAAAGCAGTAAGACATAACCGTCTCTCCTCTCTCTGTGTGAAACGCTACACCTTGGATTATTTATAAGGACTCCTGGCAAATTCTGAGCTTGCCTGATGTCAACAGACAAACAAGTCAACAGACAAACAAGGAGTTGTAGTTTTTACCCAATGCAACAATTGATAGAAATATTTCCATTCATGAACCAGTGTCAGACTTGCTGGACATGTGACTGCTGATTACAAGGAATACATAATAAAGAAATGGTTCTGTTCTGGATGTGTGATAGAAGTTAGAGGTTTGGTTACTTTGACATTAACAAGACTAAGCAGCCACGCTAACCATATATTTAAATTCCTTGAGCACTTTGGACAACCACTGGTTGACATTCTTACCTGTCCTTTCCTGTTGACCCCGATGATGCCTGAGGTGGCCTCATGTGGAGCGGTGACAAAGATGGTCTCTCCGCTGATGCGGTTCATGTAGATGCAGGTGCCTGTCTCCAAGTCGTATAAGTGAATGTAGCCATATTTGGTAATAAGGAAAACCACATCTTGCTTGGAGCTTATCTGTGGGGGAAAAAAACAAACAAAAACGATAGATAGATAGATATAGAGAGAGATAGATATAGAGAGAGAGAGAGAATTTTGCTTTATAAGCCAAATGATTTCACTTTGTATGAACAAGGGCAGTTACTATTTGACGTTCACACTTCATTTGAATGTGTAATGACCCGTCCAAATTCCAAATTTACAGTCTGTAAATGCAACAGACCATTTAAAATAATTTGCTCGTGTCCAGCAGAGGGCGTTCTTAAAATTCACTATCAGCTATGACCTCTGGGTAAACTTAGCTAATAAATGAAAATGAGGACACAAAGTATCTGAAAAGCAGTGTGTGGAAGTATTTTAAGTTCTACAGAAGCGGGAAGCTTCCGGTCCGAGACGTGATTCCAACGCTTCAGTCCCTTAATCCTGCATTCTATTGAACGGCCAGCAGGGAGCGACTCTTCTGGTTGCAAAAAGACGACCAGTTCCATTAGAAATAATGGTAAAATGACCCTACTTCTCAGCTTTACCTCTTTACCTCAGTAAACACTTTACTAATGAGTTTATGGTCTCAATCACTAGTTTCATGTCTTCTTCAATACAGCATGATTTTCATTTAGTAAATTACGGTCCCATTTAGGGGAAAATAGACCATAAAGCAGAATATGCTTCAGGGCGGGATTATCTGTGATTGAAAAGTTCTTACCATGGTGAGCTGTCAGTCAGGCTAGAGTGACTCGTACCTACGGCACTGTGTAAATTTAACAAGCGCCGTTGAAAAAGCGTATTAGGAGTTGGCTGTTGACTTTCTCTGGTGAGTACATTTAGTTTTAAGACTGTTGTTTGCTAAACAAAATTGTCAGCCCTGTTGAAATGACAGTTAATGTGAATTACAGATGTACCTAGCTAAGCAAGCTAGCTAGTTCCACACACGGCCGTTTGCTCCACCATCTCGTCCAAATATTGTCATGTCCAGTGCCGCTGGTTGCAAAAACTCAACATCGTGCCACCCTATCGGCCAAACTCGAGGCTTCAAAACGGCAGTCCACAAACCAACAGATGACGTCACGATGACTACTTCCACTTCTTTATATACAGTCTATGGTTGTACACCGTATGGGGCAAAAATACAGACAATATATATTTGATATAAAATACAGCTGCCTTTTTGAAAAAGTGACCCAGGTGGTCAATTATGGAAGTGTGCTCCACACCTGCATGGCCACAGGGAAGTCGTTCTGGGCTTCGGGGGGGGAAGAACACATCCACTGCTTTCTTTGGAAATGGCTGGTTGCCAGTTGGTGGGGTCCCCACTTCAATGATGTGCAACTGCGTCAATAAAGAAAAACGTGTGAGAAACAGACTCAGAAGTTTTGCTACAAGAATGCCAATGACATTTAATCCCCCATTATATTATTAGCATCACTCACCTTCCCTCCAGCCTGGCCTCTGACAGCGAAGCAGAACAAAGTCGACTCCTCTGTATTCCCCTCCATCTTGAACTGGGCGAAGCTGGCAGCATGGCCTTCGATGGGCTGTGAAACCTTTCTGTCAACAGAGTAGAGCTGCATGGCTCCCACCACCCGATTTTGCTGAAAAAGGCAAAACAATACACATAAATACATTTACAAAACAAACTGAGTGGCTAACTCATACTAAAAGGCAAAGTTACTGTGCCTCTATTGTCACCTATGAATGCAAACAGTCTTTCTACTGTTTATTCTCTGTGATGAAGACATGTTTCAGACGTTTCTGTTCTACACCACTGAACTTAACGTGTTTGGTGTTAAACTAAGATGACATGAGCAGAAAATCACCTGGGCTGAGATGCCGATGAGCAGGAGCCATTTCTGCTTGGCGTCAGTGCGGTAGTTGATGATCTGGCAGCCTGCCAGGCTGGAGTGGCGGTCGAAGACTTTCACAGGCTGTGAGTCACCCTCCATGCTCCAGTGGTAAACGGCATTATCAGTCACAAGTGCAACTGTGTTAAGGGAGATCCACTTCCAGAAGGTAACATCGTCCGTCATGGTGTGCGCTTTCATCTTGCTCTTCATCTCAATGTTGAAGATCTGAAGGGTTTTGGCAGCTAGAGGGGTGGAAAAGGGGGCGCGAGCCAGGCCCCAGAAGAAAGTTATATTATTTGACAACAGTGTGTCCACACACACACACACACACACACACACACTCATTGGAAAAGAAACACCAAATTTCAATAGAAAAGAGAGATTCAAATTTGAAATATTGGTAGTCATGGGACAGAGGTCATCAAGCAACGACACCATGACTGATAGAAAGGGGATGCCATACATGCTGTAGTCGGAAATTGTGTCATATCTGAAGTGTAGTGAGACAACTAGGCATGGAAAGAAAGGAAAAAGTGAATAAAATTTTGCCCTCCTGAGAGGCTACACAAGATGTCATTGTGTCAATTATGTGCAGTTCAAGCACATAAAGAGGAAGAGTTAAGGCAACTCTTAGTTATTTTCAATGTGCTTAACGAAACAATCCAGTGAGCAAAAAAAAAAAAAAAAAAAAAAGACAAAAAAGGTTATAAGTGCTCCTTGCGGTCTGTGAGATGACTGAATATATGTTTACCTCTTTCTTAGCAAAATAGTATAATCTAAATTAAGAATACAGAGTAATTAAGACAATGCTTCAACTCTTAAAAGATTGTTTAATAAATGTATTGAGTATATGTCATGTATTGTTATGTCCGACTACGTGGCCCACCCCATCAAATGAACAGCCTTCATCCAGAGAAACAAAGAAGACAGAGGGTGGAAGCAAGAAACAAAACAACTCACAAAAAAGGCAAACACATCTGCATCTGAGTCAAATACGTATATAACGGTGATACGACAGTTAAACACATACGTGGATGCACAATTAAAAGGGAAGAGGGCATGTTTTAAGCAATTAAGAGACTTTTAGACAAGAGTTGCAGGAAAGGATTCCAATAATGATTATAGTTGTTTGTCTAAAATTGAAGTTAAATGTCCTGCGATGTCCTGATAACAGATCAGAAAAGGTTTACTCACCTGCATTTCTTGTTTTTTTAGTTAGGGTTAATTTAGAGAGCTAAAGCTTTATTAAGAAGCAGTGTGACTTCCTTGTTTGCTCATTATTCAGTACTCATCAACAATGTGAGAAAAAGCAAAGACCAATGCGTTAGCACAACCGTCAAGATCATTTTGCCATCACTAAGCCAAGGGATCAGGGTACAAAAAGCGGCGTCTCGATTGGACCACTTGCAGCAGCAGCCAAATTTCAGAGCGAGCAAGGGAATTTTTAAGTAAATCATGATCAGCTGTTGGAGGTGTGAGCGCATTGTGTCCGTCCTTCAGACATGGTTACATGAAAAGGTTAAGGCTTGATACTGTGTCACATGACAAGGTCGGCTGAGAAGCATCATTATGGTAGACTGAGCAGGGAAGACAGTGGGGGTGGAAAAAGAGGGAGGAAGGGTCTACACTGACCATACACTGAAAAAACTAGTGAGGAAAAGCCAGAGACTACAGCTTGGGCCAACATGGATCTGGAGCTCTGCACACACTGCTGAGCTACTGTAACTGTTCCATTTCACAGTCACTACATATCCTCCATAATCACACAACTCATGTGTGCTGTGGCTGATGAGGAATGTGAGCTGCTGAAATGTTTGCATTTGTAGGACTCGTTATTTTTACTCATGATTTTTGTCCCATTTTTTCTTGTTTGTTTTTTGCGGGAAGAATTATCTGAGCTGTCCTAATCACAGGACGACCCCGTTTACTGCTTATTGCGGTGGTCTTTTTCTTTGCAGCTTTTCGACAATCCTTATGTGTTTGCTGTGTAACATGTATCCAGGGAGCATTATAAGAGATATAATTATTTTGAGAATGGTCACTCCTGCTCTTGTCTGTATGTCACATGTTTATCAGCAATGAGCTACAACTCAAGAAAAGCTCCGCACACAATTTATAACTGTACGTTGTCCTTTAGGGAAAACAGTCAGCAAAGAAAGGATGTTAAAGTGAGGAGGGCCAGTTTTACACAAACTGTCAAACCTACAAAGTTCTTCTACCATCGACACCACTGCATTAACCAAACAAAAAGGACATTCAACCTGTTATTACCTCCTCACTCCGCAATGTATAACATTAACACTAACTGATGTTCACTAGGTGACTAGTTAGTATTTTACACTATTTGACAAGAAACAATGAGCAGGGGTTAATAATTTGGTCATGTCAACGCCCTAAGGATCATTTAAACTGATCAAAATCATTTTACAAGAAAACCTGTATGACCAGGGGGCCTTAGACAGCCACTCATTTCATAGCATAATACTGTGACCACAGAGAGATAGTTCAGCAAAACATCCTAAGACAAGCTGTTTGGCTCATAAAGTGTAATTTTAATAGCTGGACAGAGCCACGGCCAAGAGCTGAACACAGATGGACACACAAGGCGGTTAGGCTTATGGATCTGCTGAAGAGAAAGTGCTCCTTAACTCTACTTCTCACACCCTGACGAACAAGCCTCACAGGTTATTTTTTAAAGTCTCTTCTTGACCCATTTCATTCCTCATCTGGATCTACTTATGATAGAACAATGTCCCACCAGGAACATGTGAAATCAAACCAGTCCTGCGGTCAGATGCCACGAGACTTCCCACACAGTTGCAAGTCAGCGCTTTAAGTCTAGGCTGTCTGGTAATACTAATCTTCAGCCCTTGGTATAGAGAACCACAAGTTTGCCAAAAGTTGCTAAATTAAATAACAAATATTAAACACAGCGGGAAACAAGTGAAACAACAGGTTTGGGTAATTACCACATCACACAGATGGAAGAAGACATGGATTTCAAATGGAAATTGAGAAGAAATGTGAATTAAAATGACCATTATCACATGTAAAACAGGTTCTTAATCACTTGTACATGTAATAAAAATGATGGAATGCCAGCAAGCTATAAGGCTGTGAAAGCTAAATCCTGTTTACAAAGAAATATTTCCAATGGCCTAGATATGGATCACAGGTCCACAGAATCATCCAGAAATGGGTTAAGAAATATGAAAAATATTAAAGGCTAGGCCATTAACTTATAGGTTTAAAGAGAAATGTACCAAAACCAGGGTTTAAATGATCCATTGGTACACAATGGTAGATATAGTCATGTCAGCTGTAAACCAATATAGTCTGTACTCTTCATTTATTTACTGAAGAGGGCAATACTGAATGGGATAAGTTTGGATAATTTCATAAAAACGGTCTTGAAAACAGGATTTTACTTCCACAATGAAGTAGTTAAATTTCAACTCACCGTCTGCAAACACATAAGAAAGCAGTAAAGAAAAAAAAAAAGAACATAGAAAAGACAAAAACAAAAACAACAAAAAAGTCAAAGCAATCATGGATGTTGGACAAAAAAATAAAAATATGCCATTTTGAATATTTACAGGACAAATGTTTGGAAAAAACAATACATGTTGGCCAATAAAACCTACTTCATAGGCAGAAAACTAAGGTAGCTGGATGTATATGGGCATAAACAGATGAAAATAATTTTGAAATACTCTTAATTATTAAATGGATAATGTCACTATATTGACCAAACATGTCAGAACTGAATGCTGCAGGTCCCTTACAGGGGGGTTAGTTAAAATACAACACTGAAGTAATATAAAGTAGTTCTCGCTCTCTTTTCTGTGCTAATTCCTACACTGATTTAGAGAAATGTGGCCTCTGCAATGCCAATACACTGCCTTACCTTTAAGTGCAATGACCTTGCTGGCTGGATTCATGATGGCGCTGTCGGCTGAGATGGGCCTGCGGATAGGTGTGTTGGGGTCCGCCATATCAATGATCACCACCTGAGTCTGCTCGCCCACCTTCTCCCGGATACAGATGAACTTATCGGACTCCATGGTTAGGGGTGCTGAAGCCTATGTTGGCGGGATTGATCCCTAAGTTTTGGAGCTAAAAGAAAAAAAGGGGGGCATGTTAGGCTGAACAGAAGTGGCCTGCAAAAGATAACAGTTAAATATCATTTGCAAAGAAAATTAATGACAACATTGACATCACATTCTTCCTGCCACAATCTCATCTCCAGGCTGCTGAGAAGAGATAGTAAGTTTATTTTAATTTCACTGCAAACAGGTATAGTATTTCCCAAGAGATGCCCAGGTAGCCATTAGAGGCTGACTTTTTTTCAGGATTCCAGTGGAATTCCCACATGATGGGAGTCAATTTCACTATTTATCAAAGGATTGGGACAGGACAAAAAGTAAACTGAAGTGGGTAGTACGGGATTCAGATGTCCGTTTTTATATATAAATATGCATTTCTAATATGAATAAACACTATTTTCAGATTTATTTTACTCTGGTATGGGATGGGATGGGAGTCATTCTTCCAGGATTGGGACAAGACATAATTATTTTTGTGCGAGCGAGGGGGGGCAGTGAAAATCCTCTCATGTCACGCTCTAGCAACCATATGGAAAAATAAAAAGGGGGAGAAAATGAAACTTACAGCAGGATGTGACTTTCAAGTGTTGTCGCAAGTGTCAGGGAGCTCGAGAGCCCCAGTTACGTAGTTAACACTGTGTACCGTAATAATGTTTTTTTTTAACAGTTAAGTGAATTAAAACACCTGGTGCTGACCAAACAGCAACAGTGTCCAACAAGAAGGCTTTGATTCTGCTCAGCTGCTTTGCACTACCACAGCCAGCCAATGAGGTCATCAAGCCTGACATTGAGTAGCAACTCTTTGGACACATGGAGCTAGAGTGGTACAGAGCTGGGCTGGGTGGAGGGCTAATCCAAAGCCAAGATCTCAAGGCATGGGCCAAAGAGGAAACCACAACCATATTACACAACACTGTAGTCTCACTGCAGTCTCATTGCAGTTTAGCAAGGTCCGACTTCTTGCAACTTCTTGAATTTGGTTAAGATACAGTTTGTCAAGGCCAACATGTCAACACCTGGCCTGACAATCACCGGTGATAAAAGATCATGATGTTAAGCTAACTCATATGAAGCGCTAATTCAAATCCTAAAACTGCCTGAGGCTATGTCTGAAATGCTTTGCAGCTTATGACACCACCAAGCTCTGCAGCTTACTGCCAAGGCTGGAAACAGGGCATCATGCCTGCCTCACACTAACCCTGACACAGCACTACCTACTGAGGGCAGTGCCAAAACAGCTCTGGGCAGGAGTGTCAAGACCATGTATCATGCAGATCAAATTCTACTACAATAAAGACATGGTAAGTGAAAAAATGCAGAATTTCAGTGTCTTCCTGCAAACAAAATGCAAGTAGCAACGCAGTTGTTAAGTAAACCTGAAGGAAATGAAACTACTGAAAACATTTCCTATAGGCCATGTTTTGCTGTTGCAACTTCCTCTACTTTCGCAGCGTATCAGCAATACATCACAGTTGTACAAATGTTACATGTGTAATTACGTGAAGCTATTTGGATCATAATTTTCTGATCAGACACAGTGGCTCTGTAGATAAATCTTTAGACGATTTTGTTGTGGTCAATTATTTGCACCTTTGTTG